ATAGTAATTAAAGTACAGACCAAAATCTTCTCAATATGCTTTGATTTTTATAATACTGTCACCATATTTGTTTTATTTTATTACATTCTTTGAACAAAATGAAGTATACCCCTATTGTAAGGGCAGAAAACTAAAACCCTTCAACTAGCCTTTGAATTTACAAACTACCAATTAAACTATATTCAGTGCTTTCATCTCATGACACTAACCTCACATTGTATCTGAACCACAAAAATATCAAAACACCTATGAATGCAATTAGTTGTACAAAATCAATAAATGGGATTTACATATGTATTATAGTTTTAAAAGTATTGTGAAGGATACATTGCCTTTCTAAAGTGAGAGAATGGGGGGTGGCCTATATTAATTACAACAGGTTCTCAAGTCATGAGCCTTTACATGCACTGTCAAATCTAAGATGTACATTTTAATGTTATGGATTAGGCATGATATCTTATGGAGTGGTGTTGATTACCACAATAGAAAGATGGTAAGCTGACAAGATACCATCTCCCTAAGCAAACAGCCCAGGGAGCTCATAATGAGATTTAAAACTGATGCTAGTAAACCATGCCTGTTTGCCCATACAATCTTCTTCTCACATTATATTTTAAGAGGCAGCTAAATCGTAATTTGGTTTGCAATACACACTTCTAAAACGTTGTGTAAATGGATAACTAAGCATTTACCAAACTATACGGTGTTACAGTGTCTAGAGAACAGTCTAGGCGGGTCTTTCCCACTTTGCCGTATTTCGAGCACTCACCACTGACAGTGGCATGTAGTGGGAAATTACTGCTCCCAAGTCACTTTTCCATCAAAAGTGTCCTAGCTTAATAAACTAATGAGAGATTTTAAAAGACAAAAAAAGTCTCACATATGAGACAGATCTGCGTCAGCCACTTCTCCGATCACTGAGAAAAGGGGAGGGAACACACAAAGTTTGTTTGGCAGGGCTGGGGAAGGAAAGTAGTACGGCAATCCCTCATTTCCATCCTTGTCTGGTTCCTACTAAACAAGATGACACTGAAGAGATGTGACAATTATCAAAAGTCCTTTCCCGGAGACGAAGGTAGGTTAAAACGTTACAAAAAGTGCTATAGCAAAAACCTTCTAGAAATGTTAGTTAACCAGCACAATCATTCCATATCACACTGACCGTCCGGATCCCCATAACTAATGGGTCAATGCTCTTTTCTGGTGCAATACACGTGGTATTTCTCTGATGCCATTTGTGGGTTTTATAGCCGATAGTTGTGGTTTTGTGCCCCCCGTAGTGTGAGTGGGTGGGCGAGAGGGAGACCCCCCCCTCCCTTCTGTATGCCCCTCATCCCACCTCTTTCTTTGTTGGCTCTTGTCAAGCTGAACTCAACTTTTATATCTCCAGGCATTTGCTGAAAATCACTAAGTTTGTGGCTGAATCCCCCCTACCCCTCCCACCTGCCAGCCACTGCCTTCCATCTAGCTTCCCCCCTTACCTGCTGGCCAGGCTCTGCCTGCAGTGTTGCCTGAAGGGCATCAGGTGGTAGTTCATGGCGTCCAGCAGCAGCTTCTGGCAGACGGGGTCGGTGCGCATGAAATCCACCGACTGGACCCGCTCTACCAGCTCCGGGGCCGGGATGAGGGCGAAGCGGAGGCGCTTCATGAGGTCCGGGGCATACTGCATGCGGGTCTCCCGGTCGTGCTCCAGCCAGAGCACGGACATTTGGAAAAGCGCCAGCTCCGACTCCACTGGGGGAGGCAGCGAGTCAAGCAGGGCGCGCATCTCCTCGAAGTTGAGCAGCAGCACGTCCTCCACCAGGTACTTGTTGGCCAGTTTCTTGGTCTCCTCCAGGCCGTGCAGGGCGGCGATCTTGCACACCTGCTTGTAGTTCTGCACCGAGATCTGGTCGTTGAGGAACTGCACGCACAGCTTGGTGACCTGCGGGATGTGCAGGATCTTGCTGACCGACAGCACCTCCTCCACAGTGTCCAGGGACAGGGTCACGTTGGCCGTGTACAGGTACTCCAGCACCAGGCGCAGCCCGATGGACGAGCAGCCTTGCAACACCAGGTTGTTGATGGCCCTGGGGCTGGCCAGGAGCTTGTCCTCGGGGGAGGAAGAAGGGGTGCCCGGCTCCTCCTGCTGCTGCTCCTTGGGGGGTGCGCCCAGGCCCAGCCCGTCCTGCGCGCTCGGTCCCAGCGCCAGGGGTTGGGGGTGGCCGCCGCCGCCAGTGCTGGAGAAGAGGGATCGGAAGTACTGGGAGCAGGAGGCCAGCACGGCCTTGTGGCAGTGGAACTGCTGGCCCTGAGCTACTAGGGTCACGCTGCAGAAGAGCTGCCTCCTCCAGAGCAGGTTGAGGCCATGCAGCAGGTTGTTGCTGTGGCTGGGGTTGAAGGTGGAGGTCCTGTCCCCACATCTGGACATGGTGAGCGGCCTCAGCGCACCTGCCTTTAAACCCTCCTCCAACCTGGGATAAGGGGGCAACAGTGGGGGTGGGGAGGGGACAACAAAAATACAGAGCTTTAAAGGAGGCTGGGAGCTCTCATATTTGCCACGTGAGAGCTTCTCCACTCAGCCGCACCTCCCCAGAGCAAGGGCCCTTAAGCCATCCACACAGCAAGCTGGCACAAGCCCCTGGGCCAATGCCTGGTACTGGGGCTTTGTCCTCTGTGCACAGGGTGCGTGTAAGGAGGAGCAGAAGAAAGACGAGGGGCAGGGATGGCATGCGGGTTGGAAAACCTCTTCCCCCTTCCCACCCCCCTTTTGTGTGGCAAATCAAACTTGTTCCCAGGGCAGGAGCCAGGAGGAATCGGGGTCTGTTTTCAAATGTGAAAACTCTGCCATGCCCTGAGAAACTAGCAAGGGCTGGCGGGGGAAAAAGCGCCCCACTCCCCGCTGCCCATCCCTCCAGCGCGGCTAACACCATAGCCTCAGCAGGCCCTCTGCCCAGCCTGTTGCTCACCCTTTCTTCCGCTTCTTGCCGCTCTACCTCACAGGGCTCCACATAGTGTTGCAGTCCCCCCTTGCATGCTTGGCACGGGTGCAGCCTTGTGCCACCGCTCCCCCTTGCTCTAGTCCCCCTCACACTTATTTAGGGGACCATGGGGAGGTGTGGTCTCACCCTTCATGCTCCCCATCCCTCCACCCCCACTTACGGGCTTGGGCCATCTTTAAGCACAAAACATCCTTCCCTGTCATGTTCCTCTGTGACGCATTTATTACCAAAATACATTCTGTGATGGCAATTTCCATCAAATTATGGAGTTAATTGGATTTTAATTGGGTTGCAGTCAGTGGAAAAACTACACTGATTGATAGTGGAAGGAAGATTCAAATGATTTTAGGTTAGCAGGCTGTATTCTTTATTTTTTACTTGAAAGAAAGCTGATTGCAATCAGAAGAGCAATCATAAATAACATAAATAATAACATCCCTTCAATGGACTCCCAGGGATGTATATTTTATAGTGCTCATGCATGAGATCCCTCAGAAACTGACTTTTCAGAGATTGGAATTTTAAACATTTGTTTTTATACATCAGTGAATTACTGTGAAGTCATCATTGCTTAAATGTCTTTGTCTAATTTATATAGGAAATGGTCATTAGGTTGCAGTTTTCTAATATTTCTCTATTTTTTTCTGAAAAAGTGGACCCGGTCAGTCCCTCCCGCCCCCCAACCACACACACACTCTCTCTCCTCCTCCCTCCCTCCCCTGCTTTCTTCCTCCTTTGCCCATTTCTTGCAATTGGAGTTTATTCTCCAAAGGCGTTTGTTACACAACTCCCCCCCGGCAGCACACACACAGGTTGCAGTTTTCTAATATTTCTCTATTTTTTTCTGAAAAAGTGGACCCGGTCAGTCCCTCCCGCCCCCCAACCACACACACACTCTCTCTCCTCCTCCCTCCCTCCCCTGCTTTCTTCCTCCTTTGCCCATTTCTTGCAATTGGAGTTTATTCTCCAAAGGCGTTTGTTACACAACTCCCCCCCGGCAGCACACACACAAACACGCAGGCTAGACACAAGGCCAGAAACTTACCTGCTCCACAACCAGCGGCCAAAGTAAAGGTTCACTTAAGCTCCCCCCCAAAAATCAATTGTCCTTCCTTTTTAAAGGTTTGATCGCTCCTTCAAAAAAAAAAAAAAAAAAAAAACCAAAAAACCCACAACCTTCTGCTTCCCAACTCGGAGCAGTCACTCTTTACAATTTATTTTGTCGTACATCATTTGATCACCATGAATTAGCAACAGCAAGAAAATGTAGGAGAGGGAGAAGGAGAGAGAAAGAGAGAGAGAGAGAGCGCGCAGAGCTTTCTGCAAGAGAAGAAGAAGAAAAAATGTACGTGTGACAAATTATGCTACCAAGAAACAACACATCATTATCCTTGGGCCTGGGGCTCAGTGAGTCGTAACGAGAGTAATAGGAAATCCACGGTTGGGGAGAGAAACGGTCGTGCATGGCCAGTGGAGAGAGACCATACAGGGGGATGGATGCTGGAGAGACTCGCAAAATTATGGCTCAAGGCTATTGTAAAAATTGTCGAGCGTAAATGACTGCGATTTCAAACATCTTTGGAAGAAAGAAGGGGAAAAAGCTAGCCCCCCCCTCCTCTGCCTCCCTCCCTCTCTCCCTCTCTCTCTATAAAGAACCGTCAAGTTTTAGTGCGCATTGCTAATTAGTCAATTTCTCTCTGCCTTCACAGGCTGGCGACTTTGCTGCTGAGCTGAAACTGCTAATTTCTGTGACCAGCTTTTTTCTTAGCTGTGATCTGGATGAATGAGTAGCTGTCTCACAGAGATGACAAAAATAAACTCTAATCCCCCCCAAAATTTCCACTACATCTTTCTCATGCATAGATTTATGATCTTCAAGCGCCCTGTGCAATATGCAAACTTTTTGTGTGTATGTGTGTGTGTATACCGTTGTATTCAGGTTACACTATATTTGTATTCTGCCTTCTCCCAGGATGTAAAGGAAATAATATCTGATCTTAATACACGATATATTGTCACTTTTTTCTCCCCTAACGTTGCTTTTATGTTATTGGTTTGACAGGGTGCATCGTCCGTCCTTGTATGTGTGATGGGGCTGGGGGTGAGGTAGACGAGAGACAAGGAAAGTGAGGCTAGTAAATGGTATTAGTGGTAAATCGTTCCCTTTACATTTGTTCCCCTGCACTATTCAAGATTTATGATCTTGTTTGAAGGCATATTTTCTCTATCGTTTTGTCTGGTTAGACAACCGTCTCTGAACTTCACTGTCAGCTCTTCAACAGATAAGGGTTCAGAAGTCACATTTTTTTATTGGAAGATTAGCATATTGTCAGATTTGTCTTTCGGTTTGGAGACTTTGCAATGCAGAAACCTGAATCAAATGGCAGGAAAGCAGCTGCTATTTCACAAACATAACCTTTCAACTTTCTGCCAGATCTGATGCCTTAGGAACATGTACAGCTCATTTTTGTTTTGTTTTGTTTTTGACTCCTTTGTGGAATTAATCCAAGGGAGTTCTCTTTTAAGCATTTTGTCTTTTTTTCTTACACCAAGGGGTATTTTGGTAGAGGACATATTCTCCACATTTTCTTTCATGATATACTGTACCCTCACATTTATAGCTCTGTTCTCCTGTTGTCAAGTCTCCAATCGTGGGGAGGGGGGAGGAGAGGGAGAGAATCAGGAAGATATGTCCTTGAATGAAATGCACATGAAAGGAGACTGAAGAGCACTTACGGAAAGTTTTAGCTAGTGTGAAATCCATAAGTACCACTCTTCCCAGCTAATAACAGGACTCTTGTCATTAAAATAAATGCTAGGAGTGTTTCCTTGAAAGGCAGCCCTTGTTGTCTTTTACCTTAACTTGTAAACAAAGATGCCAATGCATATACTGTTGGGAAGCTGGAAGTCAGATAGCTTGGGATTTGGAAAGTCTCATCTTCAAATCCAGGAATTGAAAGGAACCAATCTGTAACTTCCAGGACAGTTCTCACTAACTTGCTTTATTGATGTCCCAAAAGAAAAATGGACTGTGCCATATCTTTTCAGCCTTTATCTTATCAGAAAGCTCCCTCCTTTTAGAGTGAGAATCACCTTCCTCCTCCATACAGTGTTGCCTTCCCTTATTCACTAATCAATGTAAGAGATTTACAGTAGAAATAATGATGTAGTTAACAATATAGAAGATGGTATTTGGATTCTCATTATTTTATGCTTCCTCTAACAACATTTTCTTTGTGTCCTTCCTTTTGTGTCTTTCATAGTGTTCCAGATTGGGGTTCTTAGCATCCTTGAAAGAAGTATGAATCTTAAGATTCCACTTCAATAGGGGCTACAGTTATCAAGGATGTGAAGTGTCACTAAACTATGGTAGATGGGAAGAGCAATTTTTACATCATCTTTGTGCTGTTGAACTTTACTATATTAGCGTATGTCTACACTACAAAGTTAATTCGAACTAACAGACGTTAGTTCGAATTAACTTTAATAGGCGCTACACATGCAAACCGCTGGTTCGAACTTAATTCGAACTAGCGGCATGCTTAAGTCGAACTAGGTAAACCTCATTCCACGAGGACTAATGCCTAGTTCAAATTAACTAGTTCAAATTAAGGGCTATGTAGCCACTTAATTTGAACTAGTGGGAGGCTAGCCCTTCCCAGCTTTCCCTGGTGGCCACTCTGGGCACCACCAGGGAAACTCTTCTGCCCCCGTCCTGGCTCCGGAGCCCTTAAAGGGGCACGGGCTGGCTACGGTGCCCGTGCCAGGTGCAAGCCTGCCAGCACCCAGCCAGCAGAA